AGTATTCTGAGCGTCTGAAATACTCTCTCATCTAGATTTAATTGATAGTTATTGGCCAGGCAACAACTGTAACCCCAGTACTTTGGGAGGCCCAGGCAGAAGGATCACTTGAGTCTAAGAGTTCAAGATCAACCTGGGCAACATAGTGGATCTTATCACAACAAAAAAATTTAAGAATTAGCCAGGTGTGGGCTGGGTGTGGTGGCTCATGCCTGTAATCCCAGCACTTTGGGAGGCTGAGGCAGGTGGATCACGAGGTCAGGAGTTCGAGACCAGCCTGGCCAACATGGGGAAACCCTGTTTCTACTAAAAATACAAAAAATTAGCCAGGCCTGGTGGCAGGCACCTGTAATCCCAGCTACTCAAGAAGCTGAGGCAGAGAATTGCTTGAACCAGGAGGCAGAGGTTGCAGTGAGCTGAGATGGCACCACTGCACTCCAGCATGGGCAACAGAGCGAGTCTCTGTTTCAAACAAAAAAAGAAGAGGCCGGGCGCGGTGGCTCAAGCTTGTAATCCCAGCACTTTGGGAGGCCGAGGCGGGTGGATCACAAGGTCGAGAGATCGAGACCATCCTGGTCAACATGGTGAAACCCCGTCTCTACTAAAAATACAAAAAATTAGCTGGGCATGGTGGCACGTGCTTGTAATCCCAGCTACTCAGGAGGCTGAGGCAGGAGAATTGCCTGAACCCAGGAGGCGGAGGTTGCGGTGAGCCGAGATCGCGCCATTGCACTCCAGCCTGGGTAACAAGAGCGAAACTCTGTCTCAAAAAAAAAAAAAAGAAGAAGAAGAAGAATTAGCCAGGAATGGTAACATGTGCCTGTGGTCCCAGCTCCTCGGGAGGCTGAGGTAGGAGGATTCCTTGAGCCCAGGAGGTCAAGGCTGCAGTAAGCCATGTTCATGCCATTGCACTCTAGTGTGGGTAACAGAACAAGACCTTGTCTTAAAAAAAAAAAAAAAAAGTAATGAGTTGATAACATTGTGCTAGTTGCCTTTATCTACATAGGTATATATATATTGTTTCTTTTGCAAAACCTTTGGAAAGAAAATTGCAAGCATTTTGATATTCTATCCTTAACAGCTCAGCAGGAATTTTTTTTTTTTTTTTTTTTTTTGAGACAGAGTCTCACACTGTCTCCCAGCTGGAGTGCAATGGCAGGATCTCAGCTCACTGCAACCTCTGCCTCCCGGGTTCAAGCCATTCTTCTGCCTTAGCCTCCTGAGTAGCTGGGACTACAGGAGCCCGCCATCATGCCTGGCTAATTTTTTTGTATTTTTAGTAGAGTCAGGGTTTCACTATGTTGGCCAGGCTGGTCTCCAACTCCTGACCTCGTGATCCATCCACTACAATCTCTCAAAGTGCTGGGATTACAGGTGTGAGCCACCATGTGCGGCCAGCATCTCTTAAGAATAAGGACATTGGCCGGACGTGGTGGCTCACGCCTGTAATCCCAGCACTTTGGGAGGCCTAGGCGGGTGGATCACGAGATCCAGAGATCGAGACCATCCTGGTCAACATGGTGAAACCCCGTCTCTACTAAAAATACAAAAATTAGCTGGGCGTGGTGGCGTCTGCCTGCAGTCCCAGCTACTCGGGAGGCTGAGACAGGAGAATTGCCTGAACCCAGGAGGCGGAGGTTGCGGTGAGCCGAGAATACGCCATTGCACTCCAGCCTGGGCAACAAGAGCAAAACTCCGTCTCAAAAAAAAAAAAAAAAGAGTAAGGACATTAAGCCAGGCGCAGTGGCTCACACCTGTAATCCCAGCTTTTTGGGAGGCCAAGGCGGGCAGATCACCAGAGCTCAGGAGTTTGAGACCAGACTGACAGTACGAGACTCTGCCTCAAAAAAAAAAAAAAAAAAAAAAAAAGGAATAAGGACATTCACGTACAAGCCCCAAAAATACTATTTCACTTCTAATAGAATCAAGAATTCCATAGTAACAACTAATATCCAGTCTATATTCAAATCTCTTCAGCTGACCCAAGAATATCCTTTATAGTCGCTTTCTTTTCTCCAAAATCAGGATCCAGTGAAGGGTCACATGCTAATTTGGTTGTAATGAAAAAATTACATACTATATTTTATTCTGGGATATTCCCCCACCTGAATCCTTTTTTTGTGTGTGAGACAGTCTCACTCTGTCATCCAGGTTGGAGTGCAGTGGCACAATCTTGGCTGACTGCAACCTCTGCCTCCTGGGTTCAAGTGGTTCTCCTGCCTCAACCTCCTGAGTAGCTGGGATTACAGGCATGCGCCACCATGCCCAGATGATTTATTTTGTAGTTTTAGTAGAGATGGGGTTTCACCATGTTGGCCAGGCTCGTCTCAAACTCTTGACCTCAGGTGATCCATCTGCTTTGGCCTCCCAAAGTGCTGCGATTATAGGCGTGAGCCACCACACTCAGCCCCAAACCATTTTTTATCTTTTCTTGACATTGAATTTCTGGCAAAATAGCCAAGTCGTGCTGTAGAGTGTCCCATATTCTGGATTTGTCTGACTGTGTTTAATTTGTTCCTCTCTATTGCCAATAAACTGAAGTTTGGATCTAAAGGCCTGGAGAGATTCTGCTTATGCAGTGAACTGGGAGACTCCACAGGGTATGTCCTAATTCTTATTAATGTACTTCCTAATCCTAATGTATTAGGATTAAATTAAATTAAATTTAAATCCAACTGTACAGCTTTGCCTGAGTCTGGTAGGTGGCACCCAGTGTCAGGATGTCCCACCATTGATAATGCAGAATTTCATTACATGATTAAGATTATGAGGACTACATCATAAAAGGATTTCGTCCTTTGCAGTTAGCAAATAACCTTTGAGATAATGCTTTAGAGCCTGTCAGGATCCTATCTCTAGGCTGTATGCTGTGGCTCATGATTATAATCCTGGCACTTTGGGAGGCCAAGGCGGGGAATTTGAGCCCAGGAGTTTTTTGATTTTTTTTTGTTTTTGAGGCAGGGTCTCGCTCTGTCACCCAGGTTGGAGTGCAGTGGCAAAATCTCAGCTCACTGCAACCCGTGCCTCCCGGGTTCAATCAATTCTCCTGCCGCAGCCTCCCTCAGCTGGGATTACAGGTGCATGCCACCATGCCCAGCTAATTTTTGCATTTTTAGTAGAGATGGGGTTTCACCATGTTGGCCAGGCTGTTCACAAACTCCTGATCTAGTGATCTGCCCACCTTGGCCTCCCAAAGTGCTGGGATTACAGGTGTGAGCCACCGCATTCAGCCATGAAACAAGTATTCTACTCTACCTCTAGCCCTATCCTGCCTGTCTATCCACTTTGAACTAAGGACTCCTCTTATTACAACAGCCATTACTACTAACAAAGAAACACATTGCTAAGCAGGCATGGTGGCCTGCAGCTATAGTCACAGCTACTTGGGGGTCTGAGGCAGGAGGATGGCTTGAACTGGGAAGTTGAGGCTGCAGTGAGCTGAGATGGTACCCCTGCACTCCAGCCTAGATGACAAAGCGGGACCCTGTCTCAAAAATAAAATAAAATAAAATAAAAAGCTGGGCACAGTAGCTCACGCCTGTAATCCCAGCACTCTAGGAGGCTGAGACGGGAGGATTACCTGAGGTGAGGAGTTTGAGACCTGCCTGGTCAACATGGTGAAACCCCATCTCTACTGAAAATACCAAAATTAGTCGGGCGTGGTGGATCATGCCTGTAGTTCCAGCTACTTGGGAGGCTGAGGCAGGAGAATTTCTTGAACCTGGGAGGCAGAGGTTGCAGTGAACAGACATCGTGTCACTGCACTCCAACTTGGGCAATAGAATGAGAATGTCTCAAAATAATAATAATGATAATAAAACACGTTGCACCCTACTCTGAGGATTTTGCATGACTTGTTTTATTTAATCCTCAAAACAATCCTCTAACTAGGCGCTATTTTCCCTCATTTTATTTCTTTTTTTTTTTTTTTTTTTTTTTGAGACTGAGTTTCACTCTTGTTACCCAGGCTGGAGTGCAATGGCGCGATCTCGGCTCACCGCAACCTCCGCCTCCTGGGTTCAGGCAATTCTCCTGCCTCAGCCTCCTGAGTAGCTGGGATTACAGGCACGCACCACCATGCCCAGCTAATTTTTTGTATCTTTTAGTAGAGACGGGGTTTCACCATGTTGACCAGGATGGTCTCGATCTCTTGACCTCGTGATCCACCCGCCTCGGCCTCCCAAAGTGCTGGGATTACAGGCTTGAGCCACCGCGCCCGGCCTATTTCTTTTATTTTTTTTTTAAAAAATAGAGACGGGGTTTCACCATGTTGATCAGGCTCGTCTCAAACTCCTGACCTCGTAATCAGCCCACCTCCGCCTCCCAAAATGCTGGGATTACAGGCGTGAGCCACCTGTCCCGGCCTATTTTCCCTCATTTTGAAGGAGAAACGGACCATAAAGGATTAAAACACTTGCCCCAGGTCACACAGCTGCTTAGGGAATAGAGCCCAGGATGTGATTCCGTTGATGTCTCACTCCCCTCTTTAACCACAATTAAGTCCAACTGTACAGCTTTGCCTGAGTCTGGTACTGTGCTCTTATAGATACGATCCTATTTAAACTTTCTTGTGAAGAAGTAGGCAAGACGATCCTTATTTAACTTTGTGTAGCTTGGAGAGGTCGATCATTTTTCCAAGGTCACGAATCTAGTGAGTGGTGAATCCGGAGTCGGAATTTGACCCCGGGCATATCTGCGGTGTAGACCCCTGTCGGGGCGTGATGTGTAAGAAGCTTAATGGCCAGATTTGGCAAGTGCATGGGTAGTTGTAAGGGGCTCGTACTTTGAGAGGCAAAAGGCCCCACCCGCCACGGTCCCCCAGGGTAAAAAGCCACCTCTTTCCACCCTTCCCTAGAGCAGCTGCCCGGGCATGCGCCCTGAAGCCAACCTCCCCTCCTTCAGAATCCACCCCCTACAGGCTCCGCCCATCGCCCTCCAGAGCCAATCCCTGGGGCGAAGGGAGGGGTAGCCACGAGAGTGGGCGGTCGCTAAGGGTAGTTAGGAGTCTGGAGTCGTGCGCCCGAGTCAGAACTGCGTCTCGCGACCCAGGCGCCGGTTGCTGGAAGAGCGTGAGCAAGCGATGCTGCCGCCGCCGCTTCCTGATTGGCTGTGGGTGGCTACCTCTTTGTTGTGATTGGCCGCTAGTGAGCAGGGTATGTAAATGAAGGGGCCTGGGAGAGAAGGGGTGCCAGCGACCGGGTCCTTTGCGGAGTTCGATCCCTGGGTCCGACAGGTGCCCGCCCGGGCTGACCGGGATCGAGACGCACGGGCCTCTACGTGCCGTCTGCCCCGGCCGGGCCGGGTGAATCACGCCGCAGCCCGAGAAGGGGGCGGAGGCGCCGGCTCCCTGGCTCCGGCTGCGTGACTCACCCGCCCCCGCCGCCGCCGCCGCCGCCGCTTCGGGAGGAGCCGCCTCCACTGCCGGAAGCGAGCGGAGGCCGGGCGCGCAGAACAGCTCGCCGGGGGTCCCGGCTCTCACGGCCCCGGGAGGCCGGCAGGAACCACAGCCGGGAAGTGGGGCAGTAGAAGGAGTCCTGGGGTCAGAGGAGCCAGAATCCCCGGGGGAAAGCCGGGCTGGGTACCGCTAGGGGGCGCCGGGACTCGGGGGCGGAGTCGGGGGTGGGGGGCGGAATTCCTGCGGTTCCGCACTCCCGGGACCGCGGGGAAGGGGACGGAGACCCAGTTTTGACTAGTGTGATGGGCCACTCTTAAGATCTTGCTAGGCAGGGTCCCGGGAACTGGACCCTGGACCCTTAACTGGCCCAACAAAGTAGGTAGCGCTAGGGGTCCAAAACTCCAACCCCACCCCCCGCCACTCCAAGAAGAGAGTGGGTCCTCAAACGTATCTCACTGACCCCGGTGCCCAGCACGGTTTCCCGGCAAGCCCTGTCGATTCTGCCTCCCAAATAAATCCTGACTCAACCGACTTCCTTCCATACCCACTACCAGCTCCTCCTCCAGGCCATCACCATCGGCCGTCCCAACCAAGTACAGCTTACCAGTGGGTCTCAGATTCCCCCTCTTCCTCCCCGACTCCCACAGTCTTCCTCGAAGCAGCCACGGGGGGACGGAAACCCAGTCAGCTCCCACCACCACTCCCCTCCCTGCTCGAATTCCTTTAATGACTGCCCACCATGCTCATGATAAAATACAAACTCCCTACTTCTGCCTATGTGGCTTTCTGTGACCTGGCTGGTGCCCGTTCCCTTTGCTGCTCCCCAATCTGGTCTCCTACCATGTCACTCTCTGTGTGCCAGCCATGCTGGTCTCTTTCAGTTCAAGCCCATCCAGCCTCTGGACCTTTGGTTGCCTTTTTTTGTTGATCCCTCCTCCCAGAATGCTTTTCCCAGGGTCTCCAGGGCTAACTTCTCTGGCCTGAGGGCTCCATTCAAATGTCACCTCCCCTCGGGAGCCTCCTCTGATCATCTAAAAGGTCTCCAGGACCTTTTAGTGTCTTCCTGTAATTCTCTGTACATTTCCTGTGTTTGCTTATTTATTTACTGTTAGAAACATACTCATAGGAGACAATAAATATTAAACTATGTGAAACTAGTATTTATATTATAAATTTATATATAGTTACTTACAATTTTATAATAAACTATGTGAAACAGCTGCTTTTGTAGGGGAAGAAGTTGAATATTGGCCATTCCACATGGTTCACTGAAGACATAATAATGTTATCATTAAGAGTATTTATTGGTGGTCTGGGCGCAGTGGTTCACACCTGTAATCTCAGCACTTTGGGAGGCCTAGGCGGGCAGATCATGAGGTCAGGTGTTTGAGACCAGCCTGGCCAACATAGTAAAACCCTGTGTCTACTAAAAATACAAAAATTAGTGGGCGTCGTGGCAGGTGCCTGTAATCCCAGCTACTTGGGAGGCTGAGGCAAGAGAACTGTTTGAACTTGGGAGGCAGAGATTGCAGGGAGCCGAGATCTCGCCACTGTACTCCAGCCTGGGCAACAAGAGCGAAACTATGTCTCAAAAAAAAAAAAGAGTACTTATTGGCAGGGTGTGGCAGCTCACAGTCATAATACCAGCACTTTGGGAGGCTGAGGCGGGAGGATGGCTTGAGGCAAGGAGTTTGAGACCACCCTGAGCAACATGGTGAGACCTTGTCTCTACAAAGAATAAAAGGAGGAAAAAAAGAGTACTTATTGACTGAAGGCCAGGAGTTTGAGACCAGCCTGGGCAACAAAGTGAGACACCATTTCTATTTTTTTAAATAAAGAAGTCCATAAATATACTTTATAAAATACAAAATTTAAGTCTATAGGCTGAGTGCAGTGGCTCACGCCTGTAATCCGAGCACTTTGGAGGTCAAGGTGGGCAGATCAGTTGAGGTCAGGAGTTTGAGACCGGCCTGGGCAACATGGCGAAACCCCATTTCTACCAAAAATACAAAAATTAGCTGGACGTGGTGGCTCCCAGCTACTCGGGAGGCTGAGGCACGAGAATCACTTGAACCCGTGAGGCAGAGGTTGTGGTGAGCTGAGGTCACGCCATTGCGCTCCAGCCTGGGCAACAGAGCGAGACTCCATCTCCAGAAAAAAAAAGTATATAAATATACATCTACAATTAAATAAAAATTGCCTATATCTTTAAAGTTCCCTAACAAAAGCTAGGTACAGAGTTGCTAAGTGACTTGAAGATCCTACCTGCAGCAGCTGTCAGATCCAGGCTTTGAACTTATTTGTTTTCCATAACTTGACTACAACTCCCTGCTCTCTGCAGATGCTGAGCAAGGGTCTGAAGCGGAAGCGGGAGGAGGAGGAAGAGAAGGAATCTCTGGCAGTCGACGCCTTGTGGCTGGATCCTGGCCACGCAGCGGTGGCACAGGCACCCCCGGCTGCAGCCTCTAGCTCCCTCTTTGACCTCTCGGTGCTCAAACTCCACCACAGCCTGCAGCAGAGTGAGCCAGACCTGCGGCACCTGGTCCTGGTGGTGAATACGCTACGGCGCATCCAGGCGTCCATGGCACCCGCGGCTGCCCTGCCACCTGTGCCAAGCCCACCTGCAGCCCCCAGCATGGCTGACAACCTCCTGGCAAGCTCGGACGCTGCCCTCTCAGCCTCCATGGCCAGCCTCCTGGAGGACCTCAGTCATATCGAGGGCCTGAGTCAGGCCCCCCAACCGCTGGCAGATGAGGGGCCACCAGGCCGTAGCATGGGGGGGGCGGCGCCCAGCCTGGGTGCCTTGGACCTTCTGGGCCCAGCCACTGGCTGTCTACTGGATGATGGGCTCGAGGGCCTGTTTGAGGACATTGACACCTCTATGTATGACAATGAACTTTGGGCACCAGCCTCTGAGGGCCTCAAGCCTGGCCCTGAGGATGAGCCGGGCAAGGAGGAAGCTCCGGAGCTGGACGAAGCGGAACTGGACTACCTCATGGATGTGCTGGTGGGCACACAGGCACTGGAGCGGCCGCCTGGGCCGGGGCGCTGAGCCCTCATGTTGGGATGGTTGTCTGGTATCTGAACTGAGCTTGGTGGCTGGACCAACTGTCCTCAAAAAGACACATCTGGCTTCCCTAGTCCAGAGAACAGGGCTTGGGCCAATTTGCAGAGACAGAATCCAGTCCTGGACAATTTCACGTCCGTCCTCCTGTCTCAGGGCTGGCGGGGAAGCCTGGGATTAGTCCCTAGTGATGGAATGACAGGGTCTGGTGGCGGACTGAATTCCCTGGCCCTGCGGTCATAGCTTGGGCTGTTCCATCTCTGATATGGGAAGAGACCCCAGTCAAATTTTTCAAATTAAAACCAGTCCTGGGAAATCTCAAATCTGTGTGCTGCTTTGTCTCTGGGCAAATGTGAAAGGGAGATATTTTATTGGGTGTAGACAGACTGTGTGCCAGGCACAGTTCTAAGCACTTGACATAGGTTAACTCATTTTGGGGTAGCATTATTATCATCCCCATTTTACAGGCAAGAAAACTGAGGCTCCAAGGTCATCGCTTGAGGAGGTGGGTTTTAAAGTGTGAACTTAACTTACTTTCGTTTGTTTGTTTTAGATAGGGTCTCACTCTGTTGCCCAGTGATCTGATCATGGCTCACTACAGTCTCAAACTCCTAGGCTTAAGGGATCTTCCTGCCAGGCCACTTTTTTTTTTTTTCTAAAATTTTATTTCTTTAAAAAAAAAATTATTTCTTTTCCTTGCCAGCAGGAAGTAAAGGCCACTTTTTTATTTTTTATTTTTTAATTTTTTTTTGAGAGGGAGTTTCGCTCCTGTTACCCAGGCTGGAGTGCAATGGCGCGATCTCGGCTCACCGCAACCTCCGCCTCCTGGGTTCAGGCAATTCTCCTGCCTCAGCCTCCTGAGTAGCTGGGATTACAGGCACGCGCCACCATGCCCAGCTAATTTTTTGTATTTTTGGTAGAGACGGGGTTTCACCATGTTGACCAGGATGGTCTCGATATCTTGACCTCGTGATCCACCCGCCTCGGCCTCCCAAAGTGCTGGGATTACAGGCTTGAGCCACCGCGCCTGGCCGTAAAGGCCACTTTTTAAAAAAGAAAGCACACTTTGGGAGGCCAAGGCAGTTGGATTACGAGGTCAGGAGTTTGAGACAAGCCTGGCCAAAATGGTGAAACGTTCTCTCTACTAAAAATACAAAAGTTAAAAATAACAACAACAACAAAATACAAAAGTTAGCCAGGCGTGGTGGCACACACCTGTAATCCCAGCTAGCTACTCTGGAGGCTGAGGCAGGAGAATCACTTGAACCCGGGGGGCGGAGGTTGCAGTGAGCCGAGATCATACCATTGCACTCCAGCCTGGGCAACAGAAGGAGAGTCCATCTCAAACAAACAAAAAATGAAAGCAAGTCCTCACTTGGAGTCTACCTGTATTTATCGGAGGGGAGTGGGAGAGGTTGCTTTCAGAATGGGCCAGAAATAAAAACACAAAACCCGGAGCCCGGGCAGATCCTCTCCAGGAGCCCTGAGAGTCGGTTCTCTCGGAAAATGGGCATGGAAAGGGGGACAACAGCCGGTTTTCAGAAATAAAATCCACTCAAATCTGTGTTGGGCAAAGGAGAGGGCTGCCTAAAGGCTGTGTCTGAAATAAAGCCACCAGGCTTGGTGGCTGGACTGCGGAGAGGGCGCTCAGGGCGCAGGCAGCTGTGCCTTCCTTCTAGAAGAAACCCAGGCCCGGGCGAGCTGGGGCCACCTGCCCGTGCGCTGGGCCTGGCCGGAGCGCCGGGTGTCAGCGGCCGCCCCCGCGGTCCCGCCGCATTCCAGGCCCGGCTGGGAGGGGCCGCACACTCAGCGGCCTGGCGCGGGACCCAGGGTGCGTCCTTCCTGACGGCCGCGGGGACAGGGCGGAGCCTGGGGGTGGTGCACGGAGGCTGGGGAGTGTCACCGTGAAAACCGGGCGCGCATGCAGAGAGGCGCCGGGGGCTGGACGCTGACCCCACGGGCCAGCGGGGCCTTGAGCGAGGGAAGCGCCGCCATCGTGGGGTCCCGAGCCTCGCCTCTGACCGGAAGCCCCGAGGAGGCTGAGGCAGGGGTGGAGCCGGGCCGGGCGGGGAGCGCCGGGTCGGCCCCGGGGCCGGGAAGGGGCGGGCAGAGCGGCGCTTCCTGGAGGAGCAGAGGAAGTGGTGCCCATTCTGAAAGTGGATGAGGCGGGCCGCGGAAGGCGGGGTGAAAATGGCCTACGGGGAGCTGGCGCCCAGGCCGAGGGCCTTCCAGGTGCCTGACTCCAGCCCCGGGCGGCTCCAGCCCCTGGGCAGCGGGTACTTGGAATGCTTTGCCGCAGACCCAAAACTTGGGCGCCTGGGATGAGCTCAGCACCGCCCCCTGGTGCCCAGCCTGGGGCTCTGCGATGCCTCTGTCCGGTTCCCTGGAAATCTTTTTATTTTTATTTTATTTTATTTTATTTTATTTTATTTATTTATTTTGAGACGAAGTTTCGCTCTTGTTACCCAGGCTGGAGTGCAATGGCGCGATCTCGGCTCACCACAACCTCCGCCTCCCGGGTTCAGGCAATTCTCCTGCCTCAGCCTCCTGAGTAGCTGGGATTACAGGCACCCGCCACCATGCCCAGCTGATTTTTTGTATTTTTGGTAGAGACGGGTTTTCACCATGTTGACCAGGATGGTCTCGATCTCTTGACCTCGTGATCCACCCGCCTCGGCCTCCCAAAGTGCTGGGATTACAGGCTTGAGCCACCGCGCCCGGCCCTATTTTTTATTTTTTAAAGATGGGGTTTCCCCATGATGGCCAGGCTGGTCTTGAACTCCTGACCTCAGATGATCCACCCGCCTCGGCCTCCCAAAGTGCTAGGATTACAGGCGTGAGCGTGAGCCTGTTTCTTATTTCCTTTTCCCGAGTTTTTAAAAAGAGATTGGGTCTCACTATGTTGCCCAGGCTGGAGAGCAGTGTCTGTTCAGAGGAGTGATCATAGTGCTGTACAACCTTGAACTCCTGGGCTCACGGAATCCTCTGGCCTCAGGCCTCCGAGTAGCTGGGACTAGGATTACAGGCACAAACCACCGTGCCCAGCTATGGACCTGTTTCTGATGTCTCCGACTGCCAATACTGGGTGAGCTGATCCTCCCATTTGCCCCTGTGCCTGCCTCACCAATGATGCCCCCTCCCCACAGAGTCTCTAGGTACAGTTGCACAGGTTGTGCACTGCACATAGGCTCCATATGTAAGTGGCTGGCACGCATGTTCCAGATACCCTGCATTTACATATTTATTACAAGTTTCCCAGCAGATGGAGGTCAAGTGTCTGCAGTAAGGGGCATGTCTTTTACACAAAAGCATCACATGGACTAGATTAGCCCTGGTCCCATTCCTCTGGCACCCTCAGGTTTATGAATGGCTCATGTGTGAGAACCTGGCCCTCTCTGCCCATGTCTGACCCCCAGATGGGATGTGCAGGCTCCCTGGCTCTGGTGTGCTGCTCCACCCTCAGGCTCAACCCCAGGAGGCCACACCACCTTGGCCTGCAGACTCCAGGGCCCACACCCTTCCTAGATGAGCTGTTAGCCCTGGCACTGCCTGCTGTCACCTTTCACCTTTCTGTTTTTTTGAGATAGAGTCTCACTGTGTTGCCCAGGCTGGAGTGGCCGGATCTCGGCTCACTGCAACCTCCACCTCCCAGGTTCAAGCCATTCTCCTGCGTCAGCCTCCCAAGTAGCTGGAACTACAGGCACCCACCACCATGCTTAGGTAATTTTTGTATTTTTAGTAGAGACGGGGTTTCACTATGTTGACCAGGCTGGTCTTGAACTCCTAACCTCGTGATCCACCCGTCTCAGCCTCCCAAAGTGCTGGGATTACAGGCACGTACCTGGCCCGCCTTTCACCCTTTTCAAGCTTCTGTGTATGCCCGCCATGACACCCCCAGGCCAGCTTCCCTCCGTGGCATTCAACGGAACACTCCCCAAACATACAACACACACTCACACTCCTCACACACTTCTCACACTCACTCCTGGAAGAGCTGTGACCAGCTCTCTGGTCCCCTTTTTCCTCCCTCCCTTCTTCCCTTCCCTCATTCAGCAAAAATTTATGAGCACACACCTACTGTGTGCCTAGACCTTTGTAAAGGGTAAATCTGACCACATCTCTCCCTTTTCCCTGGGCCCTTATTACTCCAATTCTCTGGAGACTGAACTCTGTATCTTCCAAGGCTTACCTTCTACCTCTGTTCCTATTCATTAAACAGTTATTGAGCACCTATGGTATGCAGTCCTAGCACATTGCAAAAATCTAACACAGAGATGTTATTGAAGCAGTAAGCTGGAGAGAAGTGATTGTTCCTGTAAGCCAGACCTACTGGGTTTGAACCCCAGCTTTGGCCAGATGTGATGGCTCATGCGTATCGTCCCAGCTACTCAGGAGGCTTGGGGCCAGGAGTCTGAGCCTGCAATGAGCCATGATTGCACCACCACACTCCAGCCTGGGCCACAGAACAAGACCCTGTCAGACAGAAAGAAGAAAGAAAAGAAAAGAAAGGAACAAAGGGAGAGAGAGAGAAAGAGAGAAAAGGAGAAAGAAACAGAAACAAGAAAGAGAAAGGAAGGAAGGAAGGGCGAGGAGGAGGGAGAGAGAGAAGGGAGGGAGGGAGGAAGGAAGGAAGAAAGAGGCAGGCAGGGAAGGAGAAAGGAGAGAGAAAGAGAAGAAAAAAGGAAGGAAGAGAAAGAAAGAGAAGGAAAGAGAAAGTAAGCTTTGCCAGAGGCCGGGCGCGGTGGCTCAAGCCTGTAATCCCAGCACTTTGGGAGGCCGAGGCGGGTGGATCACAAGGTCAAGAGATCGAGACCATCCTGGTCAACATGGTGAAACCCCGTCTCTACTAAAAATACAAAAAATTAGCTGGGCATGGTGGTGTGTGCCTGTAATCCCAGCTACTCAGGAGGCTGAGGCAGGAGAATTGCCTGAACCCAGGAGGCAGAGGTTGCAGGTGAGCCGAGATCGCGCCATTGCACTCCAGCCTGGGTAACAAGAGCGAAAACTCCGTCTCCAAAAAAAAAAAAAAAAAAAAGAAAAAAAGAAAGAAAGCTTTGCCATTCAGTGGCTGTGTGACCATGACCCTAGGCACAGTACTTAACCTCTCTGAGCCTCAGGTCCTGACCTGTAAACTGGAACAGTAACAGTATCTGCCCTAAAGTACTGTTGTTCTGGTGAGAAATGAAACAGCAAGGGTCACTGAGTGAGGGACCCTCCAACATTTTCAGGGATCGCTAAGCTGCTGGGTTCAGCTGGAAAGGGGAGGAAGGCAGTAAGCTAAGTGACAAGACTGGAAGGCTCCGCAGGGCTAGGGCATACAGCACCCTGGATGGGGGACTTAACTCTGTAGGCGCCGGGGAGCCACGAAGTAAAAGGATCCCTTCTCTAGGTGGGCGGCATTGTCGTGGAGGTGACGCTGGAGGCCGAGAGCCCAGGGGAGGAGAGTCTGCGGAGGGACGGAGCGGCCACTGGGGGGGACGACGAAATCAGGAGGCGTAGCAGACAGGCTGTGGGGATGACGGGCCGTGGAGGAGGGGTCTCAGACCAGGCTCAGGGCGCTAATCAGGGAACTGGGGGACAGTGGGGCCACCCCTGAGATGGTGACTGGGGAGAAAAGCAGGTATGGAGTTGGGGGTGAGGCCAGGGAGGGGCCCAGGGGGTGCAAGAGGCTGGGGAGACACCCAGGATGCCGCGTGGAGCTGCTGGGGCCCTGGGACAGGAGCTCAGGAGAGAGGACTGGGGCGCAGCGGCGTGTGTGAAGGGTGGGCTCCAGGCCAGTGTCCCTTGGCTGGACTGGGTGGGGTGGAATGGCTGGACCAGGCAGGGCAGGTTGAGGCTCCTGCTTGGCTCAGACTGGGTCCGGAGAGGGTGGTCCCTGGGGAGAAGCATCCACCTCCTTCCCCAGCCCCACAGGATGTCCTGTGTTTACTGAGGTGGCCACGGCCGGAACAAGGACACTGGTGCCACCCCCCAACTTAGCTTCCCATGGCCACACCCCCTCGGGCAAGGGAGAACACGACAGAGAGAGACCGAGAGGGAGACAGAAATGCGCATCGAGAGAATGAGACAGAAAGAAACCAGGAAAGACACAGAGACAGACAAGGAATAAGGAAAGAGAGACAGAGAATGACAGAGAGACACACCATTCATGATAAGAACTCAGCCGGGCGCGGTGGCTCAAGCCTGTAATCCCAGCACTTTGGGAGGCCGAGGCGGGTGGATCACGAGGTCAAGAGATCGAGACCATCCTGGTCAACATGGTGAAACCCCGTCTCTACTAAAAATACAAAAAACTAGCTGGGCGTGGTGGCACGTGTCTGTAATCCCAGCTACTCAGGAGGCTGAGGCAGGAGAATTGCCTGAGCCCAGGAAGCGGAGGTTGCGGTGAGCCGAGATCGCGCCATTGCACTCCAGCCTGGGTAACAAGAGCGAAACTCCGTCTCAAAAAAAAAAAAAAAAGAACTCGCAGCAGGCCGGGCACAGTGGCTGACGTCATGATCCACCCGCCTCAGCCTCCCAAAAAGCTGGGATTACAGGTGTGACCCCCCATGCCCAGCCAGCTCAGCCTCTTTCTACCCTCAGGTACCTAAAAGCTCAGTGCTATGAATACTTTGTCCCTTCCATAGCTACCCAGAGCCTGCAGGACAAAGTCTGAGCCCCTCCTCATGGCCCTGCTGACCCCCAGACCTCCTCTTAGCTTTCCCTCACACTCTCAGATTAACCATTCCTCAAAGGGCCTTTGCACTGGCTGTTCCCTCTACCTGAAACACACCGTCATTCCTTCACCATCCATGGATTTAGATTAACTCCTATATATCCTCCAGGTGCAAGCTCAAATGCCACTTCTTCCAGGAAGTCCTCCCTGACTGCTCTTCCTAGTCTGGGGCAGGAACCTTTTCTGGACTTCCCCATCAAGGCTTTGACCTCTCTGCCGATGATTCCTCCATCACAACCCTCATCTTTCTGGGTTTGTTCCCTGCTGGACTGTGAACAGCGTGGATGCCGGCCTGAGATGTTTCAGTCACACTGTGTCCCCAGCACCATCCAGCCTGGGACTGGGCACCAGACCAGGTGCTCACTGAGTGTTGCTGACCGTGAATGAAGGCCTGCTCCGTTTCTCACCTCTGGTCCTTTGCCCACGTCTGTCCCTCTGCCTGGAACCCCCTTCCCTTCTATTTTCCTTAGCTCCCTTCTCCTCATTCTTCCAGTTTGACTTCATTATTATTATTATTTATTGTTATTATTTTGAGACAGAGTCTCGCTCTGTCGCCCAGGCTGGAGTACAATGGTGTGATCTCAGCTCACTGCAACCTCTGCCTTCCGGCTTCAATAGATTCTCCTGCCTCAGCCTCCCAAGTAGCTGGGATGACAGGTACCCATCACCACACCCAGCTAATTCAGTTTGACTGCAGATGTCACCTCTTGCAGGATCCTTTCCTGAGTCCGGCCCCTCCCCGCTGGGGTAGAGTTAGATTTGTTGATGTCCCCAGTACCCAGCAAAACACCTGCTACTAAATAGGGCTTATGTTTGTTGAATGAATACACGAACAGAAGAACGTTTGCGTGAATCAATCAAGGAGAGAGACTGCAATGAGGTGAGGGTCTCCTGAGGCCCGTCGGGAGCCCTGACCACGCCATCCCTTCCACCCCTCCCGGGAGGACGGCTCTGGCTGGCTTCTGGCCACACCCCAGTCCTTGGTTGCTGCCAGGCCTGGAAGGCATTTCCCAGAGCTCAGCACATTCCTGCCTTCCTCAGTGGCTGAGAGTGGGCAGGGGGCATTTCAGAGAGAAGGGAGGGAGGCCCCCGGCATTCCGGGATCCTGCCATCCTGGCCTGGAACTCTATGTCCTCTAAAGTGGGCCCCAACCCCTTGGTGTGAGATGGGGGATGGGTCTGCAGGGGGGGCCGCAGTGTGTGTGAGGGGCGAGGGTGCCGACAGAGGCCAGGGCTTGGTGTCTGTGCCTGGCTGGACAATGGGGCAGAAGCTGCTGACGCGCGCTTTGGGGGTAATCCCCCAGCCTCAGCCCAGCGCAGGCCCGGGGCCTGGGTTCAGAGAGCGACGGGCTTCCGAGGCAGCAGCCGGGTGGGTGCCAGGGGCATGTGGGGGTACCTGTGCTCCCTGTGCCGCCCCCCGGGGTCTGGTGAGTCAGGTGGCTGGGCCAGCTGCCAATGGGTGGGGGTGAGGCTTGGTAGCCTCGTCTTGGGAGTCAAGGCAGGCCTGGGTTCAAATCTGGACCGCTGCCAATGACCGGCTATGGGTGATCTTGGGAGAGTCACGTACGTTCTCTGAGCCTCCTTGTCTGCAAAGTGGAGGAGGCAGAAGAGTAGCGGGGTTTTTGTGGTCCAGGAGAACAGGGGTTGGGCCCCAGCTCCACCACCTTCTGTCCACATAGCTATAAATTGGGCATAGCCGTGACTCACGCCCATAATCCCAGAACTTTGGGAGGCTGAAGTGGGAAGACCGCTTGAGCCCAGGGGTTCGAGACCAGCCTGGGCAACATGGTGAAACTTTGTCTCTACAAAAAAAATACAAAAATTAGCTGGGCACAGTGGTGCATGCCTGTAGTTCCAGCTACTTGAAGTGGGGGTGGGTGGGGTGGGGGTGAGCCAGGAGGATTGCTTGAGCCCAGGAGGTTGAGGCTGCAGTGACTCATCTACTGCAGCCTGGGTGACAGAGTGAGACCCTGTCTCAAAACAAAAGGGCATAAGGAGCCCATTTGACACCCTTGATTCAAAAGCAGGGCTTGAGCACTGAGCGTTGGTACTTAGTATATTATGTGTCCCCCTAAACGGCAACTGCATTAGACAGAGAACGGGGAGTCCCCTGTGCCCAGTCTCACTCAAAAAGGGCCAAAACCTCCCCAGCAAGAAAAGCCAGCTGCCTAACTTGTGTGAAGAAGAATACCAAATACTTATTAGTAGCCCTCATTCTGTGTCAGGCTTCGTTTGACATTTTCAGTCTCTTGTAACTCATTTAATCTTCACGACGAACCCAGGAGGTGGGTACTTTTACTATCTGCAGAGCAAAGCTGTGCCTTGCAACAGGTCACCCAGCCAGGAAGTGGTCGCGCCGTGATCTGAACTCAAGTCGACAGGGAGAGGGAATGGAAGGAGTTTTCAGTGGAGGCCCTTGGCCAGCCCAGGTCCTGGAGCCAGGAAACAGTGGGGCTGGGGTGGGGTCCTGATTCTCCAAGTCGAGGAAGCCAACGTGCAAATCCTTGAAGCTGAGCTCATGGCAGAGGTCCTGGCCCAGGCCAGGGAGAGGCGGCTGGTGGCTGTCCCGTGGTCCCCACCCCTTGCGGAGGGCTGTAGCTGGAGGAGGGGGATGTTTGTTTCTCCACCACCCACCCTCTGGTGACGTCACACCTCCGCAGCCAATGGCTGGGGTTTCTCTCTCCTCCCCCTCCCCATTCCTTTTCCCCCCAAGCCTAGGGCTGGGGCTGACAGACGGACCAGGAGCTCTCGAGGTGTCTGGAGGCCCAGCGGTAAGAGATCAGCCGGCCAGTCCCCTCCCTGGCCAAACTGAGACACTGTGGGAATGAGGTTCAAGGTCCCGGGAAGTGTTGGGATGGGTTCTGGGAGGGGGCCTGGGGGCTCAGGAAGCCGTGTGCTGTAGGCGTTAAAGGTACAGACTTTGGAGCCAGTGGTTCAGATCTCCTTTCCTCTTCTTTCTGGCTGTGCAGCCTTGGGCAAGACACTTAATCCTCTGTGCCTCTGCTTCCCCATCTCTAAAATGGGCTGATGTCAGGAGGCCGCTTCACAGGGCTGGTGCCAGAGTAATGAGTTGCTGCTTTTAAAGAGCTAAGGCAGCCAGGCATAGTGGCTCATGCCTGTAATCCCAGCACTTTGGGAGGCTGAGGTGGAGGACTGGAGTTCGAGGCCCAGGAGTTCGAGACCAGCCTGGGCCCCATAGGGAGACCCTATCTCTACGCATATATCTATATTTTAAATTAGCGGGGTGTGGTGGTGCGTGCCTGTGGTCCCAGCTACTCTGGAGGCTTAGATGGCAGGATGGGTTGGGCACAGGAGGCCGAGGTTGCAGTGAGCTGTGATCACACCACTGCACTCTAGCCTGGGTGACAAAGTGAGACCTTGTCTCAAAAAAAAAAAAAAAAAAAAAAAACCCAAAAAACAAAACAAAACAAAACAAAACAAAAAACAGAGCTGGGCAGGATGCCTGATACCCGGGGTGGGTCCCTGGAGTAGGGTGTTAGGGAGGCAGCATGGATCCTGTTGGTGGGGGGCTGGTGCCTGAGCTGGGTTTTGTCCCTCAGCCAAAGCTCCCCTTTGGTAGTGGGGAAAGTGGGGGCCACTGAGGAGCAAAAGTTGGATGTCAGACACTGTGAGATGCACAGCCCTCTCCCTCCATACTCTACCTGTTGCTGCCAGATAGGAGTTTATATTAATTTTTTTTAAAAATAGAGATGGGGTTTCACCATGTTGGCCAGGGTGGTCTCGAATTCCTGACCTCATGATCTGCTTGCCTCGGCCTCCCAAAGTGTTGGGATTACAGGTGTGGGCCACTGCGCTCAGTCGAGTTTATATTAATTGAGCACTTATTATACATGAGAAATATTCTAAGCACCTGTTGCTCTCTCACAAATCTTCAAAGCCATTCTTATTAGCTCCATTTTACAGATGGAGAAACTGAGGACCCAGAGATGGAGGATCTCACCCAAGTCCTCATACCTGGGAAGTGCTGGAGCAGGGACTAAGTGAGGCAGTCAGAGGCCACCGCCTTAACTTCCCCAGACCCCCTAGATGGCCTCAAGTAATGTTTACAGGCCTGGACGAGTCAGCTCAACTCCCGAGCCTCACTGCTGTGGGAGATCACACTGGTGGTGGGGGAAAGCTGAGTTTCTGAGCAGGCAGGGTTCCCAAGTGAGGCTGGTGGCAGTCACCAGGGAAAGAGAGCCAGAAGCAAAGCCCTCAGCCGACCCCTTAGCAGTCTCTCCAAGTGACAACCCCTCACTCCCAGCTGCTCTGAAGGGCGTGAGTCGCGTCTGAAATGGATATCTCAGTTGTACCCACTCCAGGGAGATGTTACAAAGATTTAAGTAGCCAAGATAGGAAGGATCTTACTTAGCACATAGTAGGTGCTCGAGAAATAGGGACTCTGGAGGTTCTGAAAGCTCTGGCATGTGCCAGTGTCACACCACAGCAACTGCCCAAGAAATAGGCTGCTGGCATCTAGAGTGTCTGCCTGGTCTCGCTAGATCTGCCCCTAACACAAGGCAGCGATCCCGCCACCTCCCCTGCGCCTCCCCGCCCCTCCCTCCCCTGCCTAGTGGGATAGGCAGAGCTGGGAACACAGAGTCCTGCCTGAGGGTTTCCTTCTGAAGCTGCCCCCACCTTACCCCGGGAGCTGGGTACGTGGCTCAGGAAGGGCACAGCTGGGCTAAATATAACCTGGGCTGGGTGCCTGTCCCAGACAGGGACGAAGAAGGAGGGCATTCTCTCTTGTCCCTGCCTTGCCTGGACTTCCTGTGCCAGGCTCCCGGCATGACCCTCAGAACCAAGGGCCTGGGACAGAGAGCCTGCCACCCAGGAGACCCAGTCCTGTACCACCTACAAGGTCCAGGCTTCTCGTGCCCCAGCTCAGGACTCTGCTGTGTCTCAACCCCGCGTAAGGGACTGAGCTGGCTTTTGCACCTGGCCTCAAGTCCCAACTCTGTCACCGTGATCACTGGTCTCTTAACTTTCAATGACTCATCAGTTAAATGGGGTCCCACGAGGCCAAGTCTGTAACGGGCGTGCCTGGCCCAGGCCTGGCACCTCACCTGGGTGTGTTTCTAGCACCAGCCCCCTCCTGCCCAACCCAGCTCCTGCCCCAGTGCTCGGAGCCACCAATGCAAACTAAGAGCACAGCAGGGGTGAGGGGCAGGCAGAGCAGGGGTGAGGGGCAGGCAGAGCAGGGGTGAGGGGCAGGCACAGCAGGGGCGGGGGCAGGCAGAGCAGGGGTGAGGGGCAGGCAGAGCAGGGGTGAGGGGCAGGCACAGGTTCTACTGCTGCTGCTTCTTGCTGGGCGACCCCTCTGTGAGCCTCAGTTTCCACCCCTCTAACAGCCATGACATCCAGGGTGATTTTGAGGCCTATGGGTGCCAGCACAGGACCCAGTTCAGAGGAAATGCCCTCAATATGGAAAACAAGGTCTTAGTGCAGGGACCGGCTAATATGAATACTAACTACTCAATATGAATACTAACTACTCCGTATCAATACTAACCATTCAGTATCAATACTAACCACTCAGTATCAATACTAACCTCTCAATATCAATAGTAACCACTAACCTCTCAATATCAATAGTAACCACTCAATATCAGTACTAACCACTCAGTATCAATACTAACCACTCAGTATCAATACTAACCTCTCAATATCAATAGTAACCACTCAATATCAATAGTAACCACTCAATATCAATACTAACCTCTCAATACCCATCAGTTGTTATTATGATTGTCCAGCTAAAGTGCTGGAGCTTCATTTTTAAAAAATTTTTATTTTTAAGACAGAGTCTTCTTCTGTAGCCAGGCGCCAGGCTGGAGTGCAGTGGTGCAATCTCGGCTCACTGCAATCTCCGCCTCCCGGGTTCATGCAATTCTCCTGCCTCAGCCTCCCAAGTAGCTGGGATTACAGGCACGCGCCACCACGCGCAGTTAATTCTTGTATTTTTTAGTAGAGACGAGGTTTCACCATGTTGACCAAGATGGTCTCAATCTCTTGACCTTGTGATCTGCCCACCTCGGCCTCCCAAAGTGCTGGGATTACAGGAGTGAGCCACTGCGCCCGGCCCATTTATTTTTTTTTAAACAGAGTCTTGCTCTGTTGCCCAGGCTGGAGTACAGTGGCACGATCTCAGCTCACCGCAACCTCCAACTCCTGGATTCAAGCGATTCTCTTGCCTCAGCCTCCTGAGTAGCTGGGATTACAGGTGCACCCCACCATACCTGGCTAGTTTTTGTAGTTTTAGTAGAGATGGGGTTTCACCATGTTGTTCAGGCTGGTCTCAAACTCCTGATCTCATGATCCGCCTGCCTTAGCCTGCAAAAGTGCTGGGATTACAGGCGTGAGCCACGTGCCTGGCCTGTGCTGGAGCTTTTGGGCAAGTTCAAGTCCTGGCTGAGCCTGAGAGGGGCAGGGGGCTCAGAGGGGATCCCAGGGAAGGACACAGAGACCAGGATGCCTAGGAGATCCAGAAAGAAGCTCTCTTACACTGTGGGGGGAGTGGGTGCTGTAGGAGTGTTGAGGGGTCCCCATGTCTTCTGTCCTGGCCAGTGATGGGCTGTGAAGGGCCATTGTGTGGCCAGGGTGGGTGGGCAGGGGCGGAATGCGACTGAGCACTGCAGATGGGCCATTGTGTGAGGGAATGTGCCTCGTGAGGCCTGACCTTTTCCTGTGCAGTAGGGGTTGGCGGGTTGGCATGCCAGGTGGGGGCTGTGAGGACAAGCCCAGAGTCGGGGGTTGGGGGAGACGGTATTCATCTCCATTTCCCCAGATGGGCCTGGCGGGTTGCTGCATGTGAATTTCAGCTTTTGCCTCCTTCTGGCTGTGCTATGAAGCCTTGAGTAAGTTCTCTTGGCCTCTCAGGAAATGGGGTTTTCCAAGGTGAGGTAGAAGGTGAAGGTCTTAGCACAGAGGCTGACAAATACTAACCAGTCAGTACTCATCAGTTATTATTTTGAGCCAGATAAAGGGCTGGAGCTTTCAGACAAGTTCACGTCCTGGCTCGGCCATGTGCGAATTGGGCTAGTGACATCCCTGTCCCCAGCCTCAAGTGGCTCTCTGTAATGGGCTCAGTTGTAACTGATCACACAAGGCTGTGCTGAGGGCCACTTGCAGTGGTGCCTGTGGGGCACTTGACACAAGGTCAGGGCCATAGGAAGTTCTTTTTTTTTTTGAGACGGAAGTTTTGCTCCTATGCAATGGCGTGATCCCAGCTCACTGCAACCTCTGCCTCCCGGGTTCAAGGGATTCTCCTGCCTCAGCCTCCCAAGTAGCTGGGATTATAGGTGCTGCCACCATGCCCGGCTAATTTTGTATTTTGTGTAGAGATGGGGTTTCTCTATGTTGGTCAGGTTGGTCTCAAACTCCTGGCCCCAGGTACTCCACCCGCCTCGGCTTCCCAAAGTGCTGGGATTACAGACATGCGCCACAGCACCAGGCCAACGAAGTTCTTAGTAACAATAATGGTATGTTGGGCATGGTGGCTCACGCCTGTAATCCCAGCACTTTGGGACGCTGAGGCGGGTGGATCATCTGAGGTCAGGAGTTCGAGACCAGCCTGGCCAACATAGCGAAACCCCATCTCTACTAAAAATACAAAAAGTAGCCAGGTGTGGTGGCGGGCACCTGTAATCCCAGCTACTCGGGAGGCTGAGGCAGGAGAATCACTTGAACCCGGGAGGTGGAGATTGAAGTGAGCCTAGATCACGCCGTTGCACTCCAGCTTGGGTGACAAGAGTGAAATGCCATCTGAATGAAAAAATAAAAATAAAAATAAGAATAATAGCAAGTATTTATAAAGCACATGCCAGATGCCTGGCACTTCATACTTATTAATTCATTTGATCCTCGGAACAGCCCCGCAAGGTAAGCACTCTTAATTCTCCCCATTTTATAGACAGGTAACTGAAGCACAGAGAGGTGCTGTGATTTGCCCACTGGGAGTACATGGGACTGCCTATAATTATTTATTTATTTATTTATTTATTTATTTATTTATTTATTTATTTTTGAGACAGAGTTTCACCCAGGCTGGAGTGCAATGGCACGATCTCGGCTCACCGCAACCTCTGCCTCCTGGGTTCAGGCAATTCTCCTGCCTCAGCCTCCTGAGTAGCTGGGATTACAGGCATGTGCCACCATGCCCAGCTAATTTTTTGTATTTTTAGTAGAGACGGGGTTTCACCAAGTTGACCAGGATGGTCTCGATCTCTTGACCTCGTGATCCACCCGCCTCGGCCTCCCAAAGTGCTGGGATTACAGGCTTGAGCCACCGCGCCCGGCTATAATTATTTTACACTGTTGGGAGGCTGAGGTGGGAGCATCGCATGAGCCCAGGAGTTGGAGACCAGCCTGGGCAACCTAGGGAGACCCCATCTCTAAAAATAATTACAAAAATTAGCCTGGTATCACTGGGTGTGGTGTCTCATGCCTGTAATCCCAGCACATTGGGAGGGCAAGGCAGGCAGATCACTTGAGGTTAGGAGTTTGAGACCAGCCAACATGGTGAAACTCCATCTCTACTAAAAACACAAAATTAGCTGGGCGTGGTGGTGCATGCCTGTAATCTCAGCTACTCGGGAGGCTGAGGCAGAAGAATCGCTTGAACCTGGGAGGCGGAGGTAGCGGTGAGCCAAGATCGTGTCATTGCACTCCAGCCTGGGCAGCAAGAGCAAAACTCTGTCACAAAAATAAATAAATAAAGTAAAATAAAATAAATACAAAAATTAGCCGGGCACGGTGGTGCGTGCCTATAGTCCCAGCTACTTCAGGAGGCTGAGGCACGAGAATCACTTGAACCCAGGACGTGGAGGTTGCATTGAGCCAAGATCATGCCATTGCACTCCAGCCTGGGCGACACAGTAAGACCCTGTCTAAAAAAAAAAAAAAAAATTGGCCGGGTGTTGTGGCTCACACCTGTGGTCCCAGCTACTCAGGAGCTGAGGTGGTAGGATCGCCTGAACCCGGAGATCGAGGCAGCAGCGAGCTGTGATTGCACCACTGCACTCCAGCCTGGATAACAGACTTGAGACCCTGTCTCAAAAAGCAATTTTTTTTTTTAGTGAATTTGGCCCCCTCAGTTGGCCAAAATCTTTGGCACAGGGGCTCTGCTGCCAGACAGGCCTCGGGAGTCAGTTTTGGCTTTACCGTGTGTTGTCCAGCTGAGTCATCCTGGGTAAAGGTCTTTTGAGGCTCAGTTTCCCACCTGTACAATGGGGATAGGGTATCAACAGAGCACAGGCTGGGTGTGGCGGCTCATGCCTATAATCCCAGCACTTTGGGAGGCCAAGGCGGGTGGATCACCTGAGGTCAGGAGTTCGAGACCAGCCTGGCTAACATGGTGAAACCTCGTCTCTACTAAAAATACAAAAGTTAGCCGGGCATGGTGGCGTGTGCCTGTAATCCCAGCTACTAGTGGGGCTGAGGCAGAAGGATCGCTTGAAGCGAGGAGGCGGAGGTTGCAGTGAGCTGAAATTGTGCCACTGAACTCCAGCCTAGGCAACAGAGCAAGACTCCATCTCAAAACAAAAAAAAAAAACAAAAAAAACAAACAGAGCACATCAGGGTCAGGCACTCAGGAAGCCATCGGTGGGTGTTAGCTGGTAACACTGCTCACATTCTTCTTCTCAGAGCCCCGGACTCAGGAGGCCCAAGGAGCTGGAGGCGACCCTCAGGTGAGCGCTAGCTGGTGCCAGATGCCCCTCCCCACCCTTCCCTTGCCTGCCTGGAGCTTCACATCCTGGTCTTTCCCTGGCAGGCAGCAAGAACCCCACAGAAGGGCGTGAGCCCTGCAGACAGCAGTGCAGCACCTCGGGCTGGGCTCCTGTTAGGAGGGAGTGCCTGCACCCAGGCAGCGGTGAGAGGACAGCTGGGGTGGGGGCTCTTCTCCCCTTCCCATACTCACCCTGCTCTCTCCTTGTAAGCATGGCCTCCACCTCTCATCCCCTCCTGGCCTCAAGTCTCCACGGCTGTCTTCCCACAGGCTCAGAGGCAACTGCTCCATGCAGAACTGAAGCTGGTTCTGCAGCAGAAAGGAGAGAGGACGCAGGAGCCCGGGGTGCAGGTGCCTCCCAGCAGCGCCATGGAGGCCAGAAGCCGGAGTGCTGAGGTGAGTGCCTGCGGGTCCTGCAAGGCGCACTTGAGGGCAATGGGGAGGCACAGAGTAGGGCAGTGAGGAGACACTTTCTGGCCTCTCTGTGCCTCAGTCTCTCCATCTGTGAAATGGAAATAGTAACAGGGTCCATTTAATGGGTCACTGTGAGGGGAAGAAAATTAACATATGTAATGTCCTTAGTGCACAGACTAAGACTCAAAGCAGTGGATTCATTAGCACATAAAGGAGCTAAATTACTAAGAAGCTAGGGCCAGGCGCGGTGGCTCATACCTGTAATCCCAGCACTTTGGGAGGCCGAGGCAGGTAGATGATGAGGTCAGAAGTTCAAGACCAGCCTGACTAACATAATGAAACCCTGTCTCTACTACAAATACAAAAATTATCCAGTCGTGATGGCGTACACCTATAATCCCAGCTACTAAGGAGGCTGAGGCAGGAGAATCGCTTGAACCTGGAAGGTGGAGGTTGCAGTGAGCTGAGATTGTGCCACTGCACTCCACCCTGGGGGACAGACTGGGACTCCATCTCAAAAAAACAGAAACAAACAAAAAATAATAAGGAGCTAAAGAAAATCCAGCAGAAACCCTTCATCAGAAGAGGCAATATATGTCAGGGGTAGTGGCTCAGGCCTGGAATCCAAGCACTCTGGGAGGCTGAGGCAGGAAGATCGCTAGAGCCTAGGAGTTTGAGACCAGCCTGGACAACACAAGGAGACCCTGTCTTTAAAAAAAAAAAAAAAAAAAATTAGCCAGCTTTGATGGTGCGTTCCTAGCTACTTAGGAGGCTGAGGTGGGAGGATCACCTGAACCCAGGAGGTTGAGGTTGCAGGGATATGATCGAACCTCTGCACACCAGTGTGAGTGAAAGAGCAAGATCCTGTCTCATTAAGTCTCCTGTGTGGAAAGAATAAATAAGAAAAACAAAGTTAAAAAGGCCCTGTCTCAAAAAAAAAAAAAAAATATATATATATATATATATATATGGCATTTAATGTAGGGGTTAAGGAGATGGGCTTGGACCCATGGCTCAAATCCCAACCATACCACTTCAGCTTTGTGGCCCTGGGCAGATGATCTCACCTATTTGAGCCTCAGTTTCCCTATCAGTGAAATGGAGGTAATGGGGCTGGGCATGACGACTTGCACCTATAATCCCAGCACTTTGGAAGACTGAGGCAGGCGGCTCACTTGAGGTCAGGAGTTTGAGACTAGCCTGGCCAACCTGATGAAACCCCATCTCTACTAAAAATACAAAAATTAGTCAGGCATGGTGGTGTGTGCCTGTAGTCCCAGCTACTCAAGAGGCTGAGGCAGAAGAATCACTTGAACCCAAGAAGCGAAGGTGGCAGTGAGCCGAGGTCATGCCATTGCACTCCAGCCTGGGGGGCACAGTGAGACTCTGTCTCAAAAAAAAAAAAAAAAAAAAAAAAAAGAATTTAGGTAATGATTTCCACCTCTGAGAACTCATGCTTGAGCCATTTGCACAGAGTCTGGTGCTGAAGAAGCCTCTTTGAATGGCAGGTGCTGTCACTGTTGCTGAGATAATGCACTGGCATCAACCATGTCTTACTGTGTACCAGGCACCGAGCGGGTCCACTCTTAGAGGGGCCAAGCTGAGGTTGGGGGTTGAGCGCCAGGAGTTCCCTGGCTACAGGATGGCCTATAGGTTCTGGGGTCACAGACCTAAGGTTGCAGTCCAGCCTCTTCCCTTGCTTCAGGGCATGAGGCAAGTCATTCTACCTCTCAGGGTCTCAGTGTCTTCCTCTGTGACTGCCCATGAAATGGGCATCAAAATCTCATGAATGAGATCCTGCAGTCTGGGTTCTGTGGTTCACACCCGTAATCCCAACACTCTGGAAGGCTGAGGCCAGATGATCACAAGCCCGGGAGTTGGAGACCAGCCTGGGCGAAACAGTAAGACTCCGACTCTGTTTTTGAGATGGAGTCTCACTCTGTGGCCAGGCTGCAGTGCAGTGGTGCAGTCCTCCCGCCTGGGCCTCCCAAAGTGCTAGGATTACAGGCATGAGCCTCCACACCTGCCCTCCGACCCTTAAAAAAAAGAAAAAGGCCGGGCGCGGTGGCTCAAGCCTGTAATCCCAGCACTTTGGGAGGCTGAGGTGGGTGGATCACGAGGTCAAGAGTTCAAGACCATCCTTGGTCAACATGATGAAACCCCGTCTCTACTAAAAATACAAAAAATTAGCTGGGCATGGTGGCACGTGCCTGTAATCCCAGCTACTCAGGAGGCTGAGGCAGGAGAATTGCCTGAACCCAGGAGGCGGAGGTTGCGGTGAGCCGAGATCGCGCCATTGCACTCCAGCCTGGGTAACAAGAGTGAAACTCCGTCTCAAAAAAAAAAAAAAAAGAAAGAGATCCTGCACATAAAATGCTTAGCCCAGGGCTTGCTGAGCCAAAGGGTGGTAATGGTGGTCATGCTGATCCCTGTAGCCCTGGCCACAACTCTTCTTACCCACATTGCCCTGCTCAGCCTGCTAGTCTTTTGGGGCCACTGCAGTGGGGCATTGGGCCTAGACCTGCTTTCCCTCTACGTCCTGGGCTCAATTCCGTCCGTGCTGGCCCTGATGCGCTGCCCGTGACAGCGTCCTCTCAGCTCCCTGCTGCTGCAGGCCTCAGCTCACAACATGAACCTCCTGCCAGTATACCTATGTTACCCTACTTTACAGCAGGGAAGTGGATTCAGAGAGGGCAAGATTCTCCCTAAGACATACAGCAGATTGAATTCCTAGACAGAATCCAGGTTTATCGCTGCCTTTTCTGGGAAGCCCTATTGTGAAGCCCGCAGTGGCTTCTGGGCCAAGTCCAGTCTGCATCATTTACTGTAAATACCAGGAATGCCATGTCTGCCAGTCCTGTTCATTACCCACGCAGCACCCCCATTCACTGGATTCCCTCTGCCGTGGGTGTTTCGCAGGTCTTGGGGTCACCGAATTTACAATAGAGCACATTCTCACACACATTCAAGCCTGCAGGGAAGCAAATCCCACTCCCTATCCCCCGAATCCCGGACGGCATGAAGGTCCAGCCAGCCCCTTCCTCAGAATCCTATCCTCAACTCTTCTCTTGTTCTGCTGTTATTTTACTTATTTATTTATTTATTTTGAGACAGAGTTTTGCTCTTGCTGCCCAGGCTGGAGTGCAACGGTGTGATCTCAGCTCACCACCACCTCCGCCTCCAAGGTTCAAGCGATTCTCCTGCCTCAGCCTCCCCAGTAGCTGGGATTATAGGCACGTGCCACCACTCCTGGCCAATTTTGTATTTTTAGTAGAAATAGGGTTTCTCCATGTTGGTCAGGCTGGTCTCGAACTCCCGACCTCGGGTGATCCGCCCGCCTCGGCCTCCCAAAGTGCTGAGATTACAGGTGTGAGCCTCAGCCCCCTGGCCTGTTCTTTTATTAAAGCTCCTTCCCCATAGTTCAATCCAGCTTATAGAATATGGGTCTCGGGGCCAGGTGTAGTGGCTCATGACTGTAATCACAGCACTTTGGGAGACTGGGGGATCTTTTGAGGCCAGGAGTTTGAGATCAGCTTGGGGAACACAGTGAGACCCCGTCTCTTTAAAAAAAATTAAAAATTATCTGGGTGTGGTGGTGCCTGCCTGTGTTACCAACTACTTGGGAGACGCGAGTGGGAGGATTGCTTGAGTTTAGGAGGTCGAGGCTGCAGTGAGCCATTATCACACCACTGCATGCAAGCCTGGGGACAGAGTGAGAGACCCTGTCTCTTCCCACAAAAGAAGAATACGGGTCTCCACCCCAGCCTCAAATAACCCCTCATAAACTCCGGCCACACTCCTCTCCTGCCTTTGGCAGCCTTCTATACCCCGTTTGGCTCTTCCAGGCCCGCGCTCTCTTACCCTTCCTACTAGCATTGACCGCCCCGCAGCCCCGCCCCCCCGACCTGACCACGCCCCCACGATCCTGGTCCCGCCTCTCAATCGCCACTTCCCTCCAGCCCCCTCTGACGCTGTCCCTCCCCTTACAACCCCGTCTCTTCTAACCTTTACCGACTGCAGCTCTAGGGTCCTAGAGAGGCCAGCCGGCCCGCGGAGCTGTTTAAGCGTTCTGCAGGTCCGAGAATGCCAGCCGTCCGCGGGCTTGCTTTAAGGGGGAGACGCCGGAGTGGGTGTGCCCCGACGTCCTGCGAGGGCGGCGCCAAGGGGCGTGTGCCCTGAGGACCCGCTGAACAGCCACTTCTGGCCGGACGTGGTGGCTCATGCCTGTAATCCCAGCACTTTGGGAGGCCGAGGTGGGAGGGTATCTTGAGCCTAGGAGTTCGAGACCAGCCTGGGCAAAGTGGCGAGACACCCCCTCCGTCTTTAAATATATATTCACACAAGGCCGGGCGCGGTGGATCAAGCCTGTAATCCCAGCACTTTGGGAGGCCGAGGCGGGTGGATCACGAGGTCAAGAGATCGAGACCATCCTGGTCAACATGGTGAAACCCCGTCTCTACTAAAAATACAAAAAAATTAGCTGGGCATGGTGGCCCGTGCCTGTAATCCCAGCTACTCAGGAGGCTGAGGCAGGAGAATTGCCTGAACCCAGGAGGCAGAGGTTGCGGTGAGCCGAGATCGCGCCATTGCACTCCAGCCTGGGTAACAAGAGTGAAACTCTGTCTCAAAAAAAAAAAAAAAAAAATATATATATATATATATATATATATATATATGAATATGCATATGAGCCACCTTTGAGCGCAACGGCGGGCGCTGGGCGAGGTCCAGCCTTAGAGGCCCTCAACGCGACACCTCGCTGCCCTTTGCAGGAGCTGAGACGGGCGGAGTTAGTGGAGATTATCGTGGAGACGGAGGCGCAGACCGGGGTCAGCGGCATCAACGTAGCAGGCGGCGGCAAAGAGGGAATCTTCGTTCGAGAGCTGCGCGAGGACTCACCCGCCGCCAGGAGCCTCAGCCTGCAGGAAGGTGGGCGGGCCCGGGGTGTGGGGTGGGATCAACCTGCAGGGCGGGGTTACAAATCTGCCCATAGTCCAAAGCCAGGCTGAAACTGACCAGGGGATGGGGGCGTGACCTGCGACCAGGAGGCGGGGTTAAGGACTTGGGGCAGGGCTTTGCTTACTGGTTTCATTGCAAACTCCGGAGGTTCGCTGGGTGCGAATCCCACATCCCCCGTTTACTAGCTTGTGATCTTTCTGTGCCTCAGTTTTCTCATCTCTGAAATGGGACTTATTCTCGTATGGGGTTATTATGTATTGTAGATTAAATGAGTCACTGTGAAAACACTTAGCACATAGCTAAGTGGCACATAGTGCTTAACTACGTGAGTGTTAGTAAATGTTTTTGTTGTTGGGACAGGAAAAAAGGGTGGAGTGAGCCACTTGGAGGGGTTGGGAAGAGGAGCTTTGTAAGTGAGGGATGTTTTGGGAAACATGGATGAAGCTGATGTAATTTATTCATGAAACAAATACTAGCGCCTTGTATGTCAGACATTATCTTAGGTGCTTGGCCTCAGCAGTGAACAAAATAGTGAACAACGGTCCCTGCACTTAGAGAGCTTACATTCCAGGGGGAGAGACATATTTAAGCAAGTTAAGTAAAATACCTAGTAAGTTAGAAGGCAGTATGTGCTACAGTTGTCAGGAGGACAAAATGTGCTACAGCTGCTTTTTTTTTTTTTTTTCTTTTTTCTTTTTTTGAGATGGAGTCTTGCTCTGTTGCCCAACTGGAGTGCAATGGTGTGATCTTGGCTCACTGCAAACTCCGCCTCCTGGGTTCAAGTGATTCTTCTGCCTCAGCCTCCTGAGTAGCTGGGACTACAGGCACCAGCTACAGCTGCATTTTTTAACTGGGGTGGGCTTGGCTGGGTGCAGTGACTCATGCCTGTAATCCTAGCACTTTGGGAGGCTGAGGTGGGCGGATCACCTGAGCTAGGGAGTTCCAGACCAAACTGGCCAACATGGAGAAACTCCGTCTCTACTAAAAATACAAAAAGTAGCCGGGCGTGGTGGTGGGTGCCTATAATCCCAGCTGCTCTGGGAGGCTGAGGCAGGAGAATTGTTGGAATCCAGGGGACGGAGGTTGCGGTAAGCTGAAACTGCAACCTGGGTGAAAGAGCAAAACTTCAAACTCCATCTCAAAAAAAAAAAAAAAAAAAAAAAAAGATTGGTGTGGGCTGGAAAGGGCGAAAAGGCTGAAGGAGGTAAGGGAACAAGCAATGAGGCCATCTGGAAGAGGGACTAGCCAGCACAAATGCCCCAAGGTAGGAGCGTGACTAGCTTGTGGGAGGAACAGTGAGGAAACCACTGTCTATGCAATTGAGTTAGTGAAGAGGAGAGTAAGAGAGGAGGTCAGAGAGGTAATGGAGGGCATTTTTTAGAGGGCTATATAGGACTTTCACTTTTTTTTTGAGGCGGAGTTTCGCTCGTTACCCAGGCTGGAGTGCAATGGCGCGATCTCAGCTCACCGCAACCTCCGCCTCCCGGGTTCAGGCAATTCTCCTGCCTCAACCTCCTGAGTAGCTGGGATCACAGGCACGTGCCACCATGCCCAGCTAATTTTTTGTGTTTTTAGTAGAGACGGGGTTTCACCTCGTTGACCAGGATGGTCTCGATCTCTTGACCTCGTGATCCACACGCCTCGGCCTCCCAAAGTGCTGGGATTACAGGCTTGAGCCACCGTGCCCGGCCTAGGACTTTCACTTTTATTCTGTGAGGGCTGTGAGCAGAGGAGAAAGATGAATCAACTGCTGAATTGCTGCATTAGCAGTAGAATATGGCCAAGCATGGGTGGCTCACACCTGTAATCCCAGCACTTTGGGAAGCCAAGGTGAGAGGATTGCTTGAGCCCAGGAGTTTGAAGCTGCAATAAGCCATGATCACACCACTGTACTCCAGCTTAGGCAACAAAGCAAGATTCTGTTTTAAAAACAAACATCGGCCAGGCGCGGTGGCTCAAGCCTGTAATCCCAGCACTTTGGGAGGCCGAGGTGGGTGGATCACGAGGTCAAAAGATCGAGACCATCCTGGTCAACATGGTGAAACCCCGTCTCTACTAAAAATACAAAAAATTAGCTGGGCATGGTGGCACGTGCCTGTAATCCCAGCTACTCGGGAGGCTGAGGCAGGAGAATTGCCTGAACCCAGGAGGCGGAGGTTGCGGTGAGCCGAGATGGCGCCATTGCACTCCAGCCTGGGTAACAAGAGCGAAACTCCGTCTCAAAAAAAAAAAAAAAAAAAAAAAAAGATCAAGACCATCCTGGTCAACATGGTGAAACCCCGTCTTTACTAAAAATACAAAAAATTAGCTGGGCATGGTGGCACGTGCCTGTGATCCCAGCTACTCAGGAGGCTGAGGCAGGAGAATTGCCTGAACCCAGGAGGCGGAGGTTGCGGTGAGCCGAGATCGCGCCATTGCACTCCAGCCTGGGTAACAAGAGTGAAACTCCGTCTCAAAAAAAACAAACAAACATCAGGCCGGGCGCGGTGGCTCGAGCCTGTAATCCCAGCACTTTGGGAGGCTGAGGCGGGTGGATCATGAGGTCAAGAGATCGAGACCATCCTGGTCAACATGGTGAAACCCCGTCTCTACTAAAAATACAAAAAATTAGCTGGGCATGGTGGCGCATGCCTGTAATCCCAGCTACTCAGGAGGCTGAGGCAGGAGAATTGCCTGAACCCAGGAGGCGGAGGCTGCGGTGAGCCGAGATCTCGCCATTGCACTCCAGCCTGGGTAACAAGAGCGAAACTCCGTCTCAAAAAAAAAAAAAAAAAAACAGACAAACATCAGCAGCAGCAACATCAACAACAACAAAACAGTAGAATATATGAGGGCAGGGTTAGGAGCAGGGAGACAAACAAGGTGACTACTGTGATTATCCAGGTAAAAAAGGAGGATGCTCCGGACTAAAACGTTTTGGAGGTGAAGAGAAAACATACGTGTGTGTGTGTGTGTGTGTGTGTGTGTGTGTGTGTGTATATATTTTGAATTCTGGATATATTTTGAAGGAGGAGCTTTGAGGGCTAGATATTGGGAATGATGGGAAGATTTTCAAGGATGGATCCAGGGATTTTTTTTTTTTTTTTTTTTTGAGACAGATTCTTGCTCTGTCACCCAGGCTGGAGTGCAATGGCACGATCTTGGCTCACTGCAACCTCTGCCTCCCGGCTTCAAGCAATTCTCCTGCCTCAGCCTCCCCAGTACCTGGCTTATTTTATATTTTTAGTAGAGCTGGGTGTGTGTAGGGTGGGGGTAGGGGGAGTTCACCAAGTTGCCTGGGCTGGTCTCAAATTCCTGACCTAAGGTGATCCACCTGCCTTGGCCTCTCAAAGTGCTGGGATTACAGGTGTGAGCCACCGCTCCCAGTGGATCCAGGAATTTTTGACCTGAAGATGGAGTTGCTGGTCCCTCAAAAGGAACACACTGAGGCTAGTACTCATTTGGAGAAGAAAGTCCAGGAGTGAGAGGTGTGGCATTGGACACCCAGGTGGAGATATGATGGAGATGTTGGTTATGAGTCTAGGATGGAAGAGAGAATACTGGGCTGGAGAGATATGCTTGGGAATTCTTAGCAGATTTATGATCTTTAAACACCTCAGTCTGGATGAGCTTCCCAAGAATTCCCAAGGGATAACTTGAGCATGTAGACAGAGAGGAGGTCCGAGGCCTGAGGCCTGGGACAGTGTGTCTTTAAGAGGTTATAGAGGCTGGGTGTGGTGGCACAGGCCTGAAGTCCCAGGTACTCAGGAGGCTGAGGTAGAAGGATCACTTGAGCCTTGAAGTTCAAGGCTGCAGTGATTTGTGATTGCACCAGTGTACTCCAGCCTGGGCAAAAGAGTGAGAGCTTGTCTTTGAAAGAAAAAGAAAGTGGCCCACACCTGTAATATCAGCATTTTGGGAGGCTGAGGTGGGAGGATCACTTGAGCCTAGGAATTTGAGACTGGACTGGGCAACATAGTGAGACTGATTTTTTTTTTTTTTTTTTTTTTTTTGAGACAGAGTTTCACTCTTGTTGCCCAGGCTGGAGTGCAATGGTGCGATCTCTGCTCACTGCAACCTCCGCCTCCCATGTTCAAGTGATTCTCCTGCCTCAGTCCCCGGAGTAGCTGGGATTACAGGTGCCTGCAATGACACCTGGCTAATTTTGTATTTTTGGTAGAGATGGGGTTTCTCTATGTTGGTCAGGCTGGTCTTGAACTCCCGACCTCAGGTGATCTGCCCGCCTCGGTGTCCCAAAGTGCTGGGATTACAGGCATGAACCAACGTGGCTGGCAACCTTTCTCGTGGGAGAAATAATAACATATTTGTATGATCATGAGAATAATGTAGATGAGAAGGACAATTGATGATGTAGGAAGAGGAGAGAATTGCTGGAGTATGTACCTAAGAAGGCAGTGGAGGGATTGCCTTGAACTAGGAGTGGGGTTAGTTCATCCCCAGCAAAAGGAAGGAGAGTGGAGTGAGTAAATCGCCACAGGAGAAAGGGGGTGAACAGTGTGGGAGCTTCTGGAAGTTCTCTTGTGATTCTGTTCTCTTGATAAAAGAAGCAAAGTCAGTCTCCGAAACGTAAGGATGGATAGGGGAGCGACAAGGTGACCGGCAAGACCCGAGTAGGAGCGGCTTTGTTCCTTGCAGGGGGCGAGGCTAAGGTTGTGGGGCGGGGCCAGCGTAATTGCGATTCAATCTTGCGCTGGGGATTGGAGAGGCTAAAATTTGGGGCGGGGCCTCGCCGCGGTTGGGGGGGGCTCCGTGCAAGTGGGCAGAGCTAGGCCCGGGCGGAGCCGGGAGATGCCCACGTGCTGCGTACCTCCACCTCGCCCTCAGGGGACCAGCTGCTGAGCGCCCGAGTGTTCTTTGAGAACTTCAAGTACGAGGACGCACTACGCCTGCTGCAATGCGCCGAGCCTTACAAAGTCTCCTTCTGCCTGAAGCGCACTGTGCCCACCGGGGACCTGGCGCTGCGGCCTGGGACCGTGGCCGGCTACGAGATCAAGGGCCCGCGGGCCAAGGTGGCCAAGCTGGTACGCGTGCTTAGCCCGGCCCCAGCCCTGGACTGCCCCAGCGATCCCGCCTCTGCGCCGTGACCTCCGTTCCCCGCCACCATGGGCCAGCCTTGCCCTCTGTCTTGTCACTAACCCAAGCTAATCCCACTCTCTGCCCCCTTGCTCTCTGCCCCTAAACTCCTCCCCCGGGAGGGGCACTGACCCACTCCAGCCCAGGGCCCTCACCCATCTCGGAGAGGCGTCCCCACCGTCAGATCCAGGCTTGCTAGGGGTCCTGAACCAGGCTACTTGGAACCAGGGAAGCCAGGTTCCAGCCTGAGTGTGGCCCAATTACTGCTCTGCTGAGTCGCCCTGGACAAATTTCTTTCCCTCCCTGGGCCTCAGTTTCCCCATTTTGAGAATGAGGATATTGGGGGAAATCCTGGATCAGGAGCTAGAAGTCTTGGGTTCCAATCCCTACACTCCTGTTGACTCATTTGGAGATTTTAGATGGCTGCCTGCCTTCCTGGGCACTCATGGTGAAATGACAGGCAACAAGTGGGGATGGTGTTTGGGGGACACGATACTTGATCTAGCACATCCCCGGCCTGGTCTAATACCAGGAGGGGCTCTTCCTGTCCACTCCCAGCCTCCCACTGTCCCACCGCCTCCTGCCTCTCTCCTCTCTCCCCAGAACATCCAGAGTCTGTCCCCTGTGAAGAAGAAGAAGATGGTGGTGGTGCCTGGGGCTCTGGGGGTCCCCGCTGACCTGGCCCCTGTTGACGTCGAGTTCTCCTTTCCCAAGTTCTCCCGCCTGCGCCGGGGCCTCAAAGCTGAGGCTGTCAAGGGTCCTGTCCCAGCCGCCCCTGCCCGCCGGCGCCTCCAGCTCCCTCGGCTGCGTGTACGAGAAGTGGCCGAAGAGGCCCAGGCAGCCCGGCTGGCCGCCGCTGCTCCTCCCCCAAGGAAGGCCAAGGTGGAGGCCGAGGTGGCTGCAGGAGCCCGTTTCACAGCCCCCCAGGTGGAGCTGGTTGGGCCCCGGCTGCCAGGGGCCGAGGTGGGTGTCCCCCAGGTCTCACCCCCCAAGGCAGCCCCCTCAGCAGAGCCAGCTGGTGGCTTTGCCGTCCACCTGCCAACCCTTGGGCTTGGAGCCCCGGCTCCGCCTGCTGTGGAGCTCCCAGCCATGGGGATCCAGGTCCCTCAGGTGGAGCTGCCCACCTTGCCCTCACTGCCCACTCTGCCCACACTTCCCTGCCTGGAGACCCGGGAAGGGGCTGTGGCGGTTCCCACCCTGGATGTGGCAGCACCTTCTGTGGGTGTGGACCTAGCTTTGCCGGGTGCAGAGGTGGAGGCCCGGGGAGAGGCACCTGAGGTGGCCCTGAAGATGCCCCGCCTTAGTTTCCCCCGATTCGGGGCTCGAGCGAAGGAAGTTGCTGAGGCCAAGGTAGCCAAGGGCAGCCCTGAGGCCAAGGTGAAAGGTCCCAGACTTCGAATGCCCACCTTTGGGCTTTCCCTCCTGGAGCCCCGGCCCACTGCTCCTGAAGCTGTGGAGAGCAAGCTGAAGCTGCCCACCATCAAGATGCCCTCCCTTGGCATCGGAGTGTCAGGGCCCGAGGTCAAGGTGCCCAAGGGACCTGAAGTGAAGCTCCCCAAGGCTCCTGAGGTCAGGCTTCCAAAAGTGCCGGAGGCAGCCCTTCCAGAGGTTCGACTCCCAGAGGTACAGCTCCCAAAGGTGTCGGAGATGAAACTCCCAAAGGTGTCAGAGATGGCTGTGCCGGAGGTGCGGCTTCCAGAGGTGCAGCTGCCGAAAGTGCCAGAGATGAAAGTCCCTGAGATGAAGCTTCCAAAAGTGCCTGAGATGAAACTCCCTGAAATGAAAATCCCTGAAATGAAACTCCCGAAGGTGCCCGAGATGGCTGTGCCCGATGTGCCCCTGCCAGAAGTGCAGCTTCCGAAAGTCCCAGAGATGAAGCTCCCTGAGATGAAACTCCCTGAAATGAAACTCCCGAAGGTGCCCGAGATGTCTGTGCCCGATGTGCCCCTGCCAGAAGTGCAGCTTCCGAAAGTCCCAGAGATGAAGCTCCCTGAGATGAAACTCCCTGAAATGAAACTCCCGAAGGTGCCCGAGATGGCCGTGCCGGATGTGCACCTGCCGGAAGTGCAGCTCCCGAAAGTCCCAGAGGTGAAACTCCCTAAAATGCCTGAGATGGCTGTGCCAGAGGTTCAACTCCCCGAGGTGCAGCTGCCAAAAGTCTCAGAGATGAAACTCCCCAAGGTGCCTGAGATGGCCGTGCCCGATGTGCAACTCCCCGAGGTGCAGCTGCCGAAAGTCTCAGAAATAAAAGTCCCTGACGTGAAGCTCCCGGAGATAAAACTCCCCAAGGTGCCTGAGATGGCTGTGCCCGATGTGCAGCTCCCCGAGGTGCAGCTACCGAAAGTGTCAGAGATTCGGCTGCCGGAAATCCAAGTGCCAAAGGTTCCCGATGTGCACCTTCCAAAGGCACCGGAGGTGAAACTGCCCAGGGCTCCAGAGGTGCAGCTAAAAGCCACCAAGGCAGAGCCAGCAGAAGGGATGGAATTTGGCTTCAAGATGCCCAAGATGACCATGCCCAAGATGACCATGCCCAAGCTAGGGAGGGCAGAGTCCCCATCACGTGGCAAGCCAGGCGAGGCAGGTGCTGAGGTCTCAGGGAAGCTGGTAACACTTCCCTGTCTGCAGCCAGAGGTGGATGGTGAAGCTCATGTGGGTGTCCCCTCTCTCACTCTGCCCTCAGTGGAGCTAGACCTGCCAGGGGCCTTTGGCCTGGAGGGGCAGGTCCCAGCCGCCAAAATGGGCAAGGTAGAGCAGACGGAGGGCCCCAAGTTGGCAGCAGGGGTCAGGGAAGTGGGCTTCCGAGTGCCCTCTGTTGAAATTGTCACTCCACAGCTCCCCACTGTGGAAGCTGAGGAAGGGCGGCTGGAGACAATGGAGATGAAAGTCAAGCCCTCTTCCAAGTTCTCCTTGCCCAAGTTTGGACTCTCAGGGCCAAAGGTGGCCAAGGCAGAGGCTGAGGGGGCTGGGCGAGCCACCAAGCTGAAGGTCTCCAAGTTTGCCATCTCGCTCCCCAAGCCTCGGGTAGGGGCTGAGGCTGAGGCCAAAGGGGCTGGGGAGGCAGGCCTGCTGCCCGCCCTCGACCTGTCCATCCCACAGCTCAGCCTGGATACCCACCTACCCTCAGGCAAGGTAGAGGTGGCAGGGGCCGACGTCAAGTTCAAGGGGCCCAGGTTTGCTCTGCCCAAGATTGGGGTCAGAGGCCGGGACACTGAGGCAGCAGAATTGGTGCCGGGGGTAGCTGAGTTGGAGGGCAAGGGCTGGGGCTGGGACGGGAAGGTGAAGATGCCCAAGCTGAAGATGCCCTCCTTTGGACTGGCTCGAGGGAAGGAAGCAGAAGTTCAAGGTGAGCGTGCCAGCCCGGGAGAAAAGGCTGAGTCCACCACTGTGCAGCTTAAGATCCCTGCAGTGGAGCTGGTCACGCTGGGCACCCAGGAGGAAGGGAGAGCGGAGGGGGCGGTGGCCGTCAGTGGAATGCAGCTGTCAGGGCTGCAGGTGTCCACAGCCAGGCAGGTGGTCGCTGAGGGCCATGAGGCGGGGCTGAGGATGCCTCCGCTGGGCATCTCCCTGCCCCAGGTAGAGCTGACTGGCTTTGGGGAGGTGGGTACCCCGGGTCAGCAGGCTGAGAGTACAGCCCCTTCAGCAGAGGGCACAGCAGGCTACAGGGTCCAGGTGCCCCAGGTGACCCTGTCTCTGCCTGGAACCCAGGTTGCAGGTGGGGAGCTGTTGGTGGGTGAGGGTGTCTTCAAGATGCCCACTGTAACAGTGCCCCAGCTTGAGCTGGACGTGGGGCTAAGCCGAGAGGCACAGGCAGGCGAGGCGGCCACAGGTGAGGGTGGGCTGAGGCTGAAGTTGCCCACGCTGGGGGCCAGAGCTGGGGTGGGGGGCCAGGGTGCTGAGGAGCAGCCCCCAGGGGCGGAGCGTACCTTCCTCCTCTCACTGCCCGATGTGGAGCTCTCGCCACCTGGGGGCACCCACGCCGAGTACCAGGTGGCAGATGGGGAGGGGGAGGCCGGACACAAGCTCAAGGTGAGGCTGCCCCGGTTTGGCCTGGCTCGGGCCAAGGAAGGGGCCGAGGAGGGTGACAAGGCCAAGAGCCCCAAACTCAGGCTGCCCCGAGTGGGCTTCAGCCAGAGCGAGACGGTCACTGGGGAAGGCTCCCCCAGCCCCGAGGAAGAGGAGGAGGAAGAGGGCAGTGGGGAAGGGGCCTTGGGACGCCGGGGCCGGGGCCGGGTCCGCTTGCCACGCGTAGGCCTGGCGGCCCCTTCTAAAGCCTCGTGGGGACAGGAGGGCGATGCAGCCCCCAAGTCCCCCATGAGAGAGAAGTCCTCAAAGTTCCGCTTCCCGAGGGTGTCCCTAAGCCCCAAGGCCCGGAGTGGGAGTGGAGACCAGGAAGAGGGTGGATTCCGGGTGCAGCTGCCCAGCGTGGGTTTTTCGGAGACAGGGGCTCCAGGCCCAGCCAGGATAGAGGGGGCTCAGGCTGCGGCTGTCTGAAGCCCCTGGGCAGATGGAGACTCCCTTCTTGCCTTCCTTTCTCCTCCCCCACCCCTGCTGTTGTGTGTGTGATAACTAGCACTAACCCTAAGAGGGCCAGGAGGTGGGCGACTGACCAGGGCTAGTGGGGAGGCCTGCTCCTGTCTCGCTGGCAGGAGTGTGTGTAACCCACAAGCCACGTGAATAAAGTAATCCGGAAGTAGCCACGTGTTCATCTCCTGTGTGTGCGTAGGGGGAGGGGAGGGGCGGGGGTGGGTAGAGGGGAGATGCAGAGAAGGCAGTCTCCAAAGAATAGGTTTTAGGAGTCACCTGAGCCTGGCCTGAGGGGAACCTCTGGTGTCAGGGAAGAAACAGGTCACATCTGGTCTGAGAAGAGTCAGGCGGGCTGGGTGCAGTGGCTTGTGCCTGTAATCCCAGCACTTGTGAGGCCAAGGTAGGAGGATTGCTTGAGCCCAGGAGTTTGAGACTAGCCTGGGCAACATAGGGAAACCTCAGCTCTAGAAACAATACAAAAATTAGCCGAGCATGGTGGCCTGTGCCTGTAATCCCAGCTTCTTGGGAGGCTGAGGTGGGAGGATGGCTTGAGCCCAGGAGGTCGAGGCTGCAGTGAGCCGTGATGGTGCCCCTGCACTCCAGCCTGGGCAACAGAGCCAGACTGTCTCAACAAAAACAACAACAAAGAGTCAGTGTGGCCTGCGGCAGGCCCTGGTGGGAGGCGAGACTTCCCTAGCCCTTGAGAATTCCCAGGGGTTGTTGAAGAGGACTCTGGGACGTTCCTTGGTAGAGCACAGCTTCGGGACCCCTCTGCCAGGGAGCTGGCCTGTTCTGAGGGACCCACTCGTACCCGGCTGGTTGCTCCCCACCTGCCCTCTGCTGGTGAGGGCACTTCGGCACATCCTGGCCTTCTCCTTCCTGTCTGGCCGGTTTGATGGCCCTATCCACTCCCGCTCCGCCCTGGTCCCCTCTTCAGGATTCTGGGTCCAAAGCCTCCACCCCAAATACACAGCTGCCTCTTGGAACTAGGTCCTAGGGTCTTCAGCACCTGTCAGTGCTCAGCTCCCAGGGACCACCTGCCATCCAGATTCAGGATCTGAGTCTCGGGGTCCCCACCAGGGCCTCCAGCCTCCTCCACGTCTTTCTGTGATATCCCATCTGGACTAAGGAGACTCGATATCCAGTCCCAGGTCTCGTCCCAACAGCCCCCCCACCATGCTCTTCACATCTCCCTGTCCTGTCTCAGCGGATAAGGGGCCTGGCGGATTCCCGCACTCACTTAAGTACCTTGTCCCTTCAAGCTGGTCCTCTTCGGGTCACTGCCTCACCAGACACCTTTTCTTCGCCCCCATCAGACATGGTGGGAGTTATCTACACTCAGGGTGCACACCCGTGTCCAGGATCCCAACATCGGGGTTTTCCTCCTACCTTGTGTGTGTCAGCAGTGACCTCTCCGTGGCCGCACCTGAGGGTTTCCCCTGTCTCTCTTGTGACTTCTCAAAGCCCCATCGATCTTCCTGACCCTTGCTCCTCTCTTCCCCATACCTCTCTCTCCTTGGGCACTTGGGGCTCCTCCCGGGCCCTTGTCCACCCCAACACCCTCGTAGGGTGCGTCACCCTCCCCGATGGCTTCCAAACCTCCTCTCCGTGCTGACAATTCCCAGACTCTCTCCTGCATCCCCCTGGGGACCCGGCAGTTTTTGCACACCTCTCCCGGAGGTCTCCTGGTCATTAGGAGGTTGTGTGGGTGATGTTTCAGAGCCTGGTGCTGGAGCCAGGCTGCTCAGGGTCAAAGGCTGTCTCTGGCAGTCACCTGGGTGACCCTAGGCATTTTATTTTATTTTATTTTTATTTTTATTTTTCAAGACAGAGTCTCACTCATTGCCCAGGCTGGAGTACAATGGTGCAATCTTGGCTTACTGCAACCTCTGCCCCCTAGGGTCAAGCGATTCTCCTGTTTCAGCCTCCTGACCTCAGCCTCCTGAGTAGCTGGGACTACAGGTGTGCACCACCACACCCAGCTAACTTTTGTATTTGGTTTCGTCATGTTGGCCAGGCTGGTCTCAAACTCGTGACCTCAGGTGTTCTGCCTGCCTTGGCCTCCCAAAGTGCTGGGATAATACAGATATGAGCCACTGCTCCTAGCCAGGCATTTACAAAAATTTCTTTGTGCCTTGGCTTTCTCTTCCATGAAATCCCTACTTTGTATGTTGTAAGGATCAGATAAGACTTCTAAAGCCCTCCATCCTGGTTTAAATGTTTTGATGTTGAATTTTCTAATCTGGCTGGAGTGGTGGCTCATGCCTACAATCCCAGCACTTTGGGAGGTTGAAGCAGGAGGATCACTTGAGGCCAGGAGTTTAAGACCAGCATGTACAATACAGTGAGACCCCATTTCTACAAAAAAATAAAAAGATAAATAAAAATAAATACATTTTCTTTCTTCTTCTTTTTTCGAGACAGGGTCTCGCTCTGTCACCCAGGCTGGAGTACAGTGGCGCGATCTCGGCTCACTGCAACCTCCACCTCCCAGGTTCAAGTGATTCTTGTGCCTCAGCCTCATGAGTAGCTGGGATTACAGGTGTGTGTCACCACGCCCGACTAATTTTTTGTATTTTTAGTTGAGACGGGGTTTCATCGTGTTAGCCAGGATGGTCTCAATCTCCTGACTTCGTGATCCGCCCACCCGCCCCGGCCTCCCAAAGTGCTGGGATTACAGGCATGAACCACCGTGCCCAACCAAAAACAAATACATTTTCTAATTTGGCCTCAACATCTCCCCCAGTCCGCTCCTTATCCATGTTCACTTCTCGAGGACTGCCCCTTCATGCCAGAGCCCTGGGCCTGGGTCTGGGCCTGGATAGCTCCCTTCTTTCCCCCATCTGCCAGTCTCACGGCCAGTCCTCCTGGCCTTCTCGGTGCCCCATGCACTGGCCTCCTCCTCCCCTCCCTGCCCTCTCCCACCTGTGCCCTGCCCTGGATTCTTTCTCAGGCTTGGGGCCTCCACTCTTACCTGATGCAACCTATCCTTTTTCACACAGTAACTTTCTGATGCTCATATCTGACCCTGCCCTCCCCTGCTCAAAGCCCTCTGTGGCTCCCCAGTGCCCTCAGAACAAAGTCCAAACTCCTTAGCCTGGCATTCAGGGCCTTTTACAACCTCGCCCTATGGCAGCCACAGGCTGGGACAGGAGTTTCTGAACACAGACACACACACACACACGCACGTCACACCTCTGGAGCTTGAGGAGCCTGCCTTTCCTCACCTCTGCCTTATCCCCATTCCTTTTTGCCCAAGGCCCGCAATCAGACTCCCCTCTGTCAACACTTCACCTGTTTGGTCCTTGCAGGATTCCGCCACTGGGCGGGGGAGGGGGCCCAGCCTGGTACCCCACCCCCACTCCAGCCAGGACTCAGGTCTCCAACAACAGAACACCAGAGCCACTCAACAACGCTGAAACCCATTCGGGGGGCCCAGGGCCCCTCGTCCCAAGCCAGGAAGGCTTTAGGGGAGCAGGAGACCTGGGTGGGTTCTGGGTGTAGGCCCTGGCAGACTCACAGTGTGGCCAAGGGGTCTGGGGGTACCAGGGAAGCAGGGGCCCACCTCACGGGAGAAGGCACGAGTACGGTTCCCTTTCCCCCGCTGGGGCTGGGGGCCCGGTGGTGTCGGAGCCAGTGGCGCAGGGGCCTGGGCAGGGCGGTGTCCGGCAGCAGGGACACCATGGCCACCATCCAGTCAGAGACCGACTGCTACGAAATCATCGAGGTCTTAGGCAAAGGCACCTTTGGGGAGGTAGCCAAGGGCTGGCGGCGGAGCACGGGCGAGATGGTGGCCATCAAGATCCTCAAGAACGACGCCTACCGAAACCGCATCATCAAGAACGAGCTGAAGCTGCTGCGCTGCATGCGGGGCCTGGACCCCGAGGAGGCCCACGTCATCCGCTTCCTCGAGTTCTTCCACGACGCCCTCAAGTTCTACCTGGTCTTCGAGCTGCTGGAGCAAAACCTGTTCGAGTTCCAGAAGGAGAACAACTTCGCGCCCCTCCCTGCCTGCCACATCCGTACAGTCACCCTGCAGGTGCTCCGAGCCCTGGCCCGGCTTAAGGAGCTGGCGATCATCCACGCCGATCTCAAGCCCGAGAACATCATGCTGGTGGACCAGACCCGCTGCCCCTTCAGGGTCAAGGTGAGTAGGGGCCGTCTAGGGTGGCTGCGTCCCTAGTTCCTTGTCTTTTTCCAGCTTCCTCCAGTCCTAGATGCCTTTTTTTTCTTGACTTAAAAAAAATTTTTAAAGACATTTATTTATTTATTTTTAGGGACAGGGTCTTGCTCTGTTGCCCAGGTTGGAGTGCAGTGGTGTGATCATAGCTCACTGTAGCCTTGAACTCCTGAGCTCAAGCGATCCTCCTGCTTTGATCTTCCAAGTAGCTGGGACTGCAAGCACACACCACTGTTCCTGGCTAATTTTAATGTTTGGGTTTTTTTGTTTGTTTGTTTGTTTGTTTTTGTATTTTTAGTAGAGACGGGGTTTCACCGTGTTGACCAGGATGATCTCGATCTCTTGACCTCGTGATCCACCCTCCTCAGCCTCCCAAAGTGCTGGGATTACAGGCGTGAGCCACCGCGCCCGGCCAATGTTTGGGTTTTTTTTAGAACAAGGTCTTGCTATGTTGCCCAGGTTGGTCTCAAACTCCTGAGCTCAAGTGATCCTCCCGGTTCGATCTTCCAAATAGCTGGGACTGCAAGCACACACCACTGTTCCTGGCTAATTTTAATGTTTGGGTTTTTTTTAGAACAAGGTCTTGCTATGTTGCCCAGGTTGGTCTCAAACTCCTGGGCTCAAGCAATCCTGCTGTCTCAGCTTCCCAAAGCAGTGAGATTACAGGCAGGAGCCACTGTGCCTGGTCTCTTTTGACACTGAGGTTTCTCTGGTCCACCTCGGGGGCCTGAGGTCTCCCCAGCCCTGTTCCTAACAGCTTCGCCCTGCTCCTTGCCCCCAAATCTTCCCATCTTTTTGTCCCAGTTCTGATGTCTTCTCCATCCCAGACCTGAGGTCTCCCCTGTCCCCCTCCAGACCCTGAGGTCTCCTTGTCCTGGTCCATTCTCAGCTCAGCTCCTCTGGCCTGGTCCTGTTCTTGTGGGGCTGACTTTCTAGTGGGAGAGACAGGGTCACCAAGATAAATGAGTAAAATAGGGTGATCAAGTGAG